GACAAAGTTCATATGCTTAAAATTTAAGAAAATCAATGACAGGCTATCAAACACAGTTAAATATCCATATAAATTTACTCGAAAGAGCAAAATCATTGCACTGGAAGAAACAGACTTATCGGTAAGTTTTGATTTGGAATCCATGTACACAAATATCTCTTCAGAAAATACGCTGACTCGTGGAAAACAAGAACACAACAAGACTAGCAAGAAGGAGACGCTTGGATCAGGGATTTATCGCTAAACGGAGAAAAAGGGATCTCGAGGAGAAGGGGGGGAGCGGGCATTTTCAATAATCAAGCGAAGACGTTGTCATTGGGTGATGTCCATTTCAAACAAACCAGTACAACTTTGGGGGCCTGGTAGTCAGGACGCTAGGCAGACGGATAAGCAAACCGTCACAGGAATTCGGCGTTATGGTCTAAATGTACTATAAATCCACTTGAAATGCCTCATGCGACTAGAGATAGGCGTCCACAGTTTGCTCAGATAACATGGGTTTAATCAAGGGTAAGACCCATGAAGGGAAGGCCTGATATCTGCAAGCATGGGAATCGAAGCCTATGCGCTCTGCTCGGTGAGGCGGCAGTGTATGTGCTTGTAGGGCCTTGAGAAATAGCGCCTGGAGTGAAATGCACACTGGGACTGGAACCGAGTGAAATTGGTCAGCCAGAAAGAGAATGAATGGGTCTACGAGACAATGAGGGGATCCGGATTGGAGTCCTGAGTCGTATCAGCCGATCGAAAGAGAGGGGTGGGGATAAATAGTAAGTGTGATGAGGCCACACTAGATTTTCCACAAATGGGCAGACATTTTGACCAGTAATGTAAACAAGTCAGGAGTCGTGATAGGGTGGGAATTGGATAAGAGGGTAAACAGTTGATAGATGTGCTATTACAGAAAAAGGAGTTATAGTGTAACCGTTTTAGGCAGAACATTGATGGAAGGATTGACTTACTTGTCTCTTTGACGAGTTCTTAGCTTTGCGCGGAGAATGGCAGCGCCCACTGATGATGCCGACTACGATGGCGGCGAAGCGTTTGAGAATGTACCAAGTACGCTGTCTAATGCAGGGAATTATGATAACTACTATGGCAGAGAACTGCAGACTAGGTGCGTTCTGCTAAGTCTCTCGGACCACAAGAGAATGTTGCGACGTGGTCAATCCACTTCCATCAGTCTTCTGTTAGTTATAATTTAAATCATAATCACATTTTTATATGTCTTAATTCATTCGTTCGTTCCTACACCTACTGGCAAGTAAGGTACTTTACTATATTAGTCGTGTGTTCGGCCTTATGCCATCAGTTAAAATATAAAAATAGGATGAATTATGGTTATTAAAGCATGATGGCCGATGGCAGATGTTACGTCTTGTTCTAATTATTTTTGAGCCCTCACTTTTGGTTCTCCACATATATGTAAACGTGAAGGCGAATACGCACATACACAGACAGACATATACATGTTTCTAGATCGACATACGACCCAGGTTAACCAAATCACTTAATAATTCATTAAAATGCATAGATTTCGGCTATATATACATTAATAGTTACTGATACTCTCTGAAACTAATGATATCAAAAATATACCTAAAGAATTTAGGGGAAAGCTTTTTCTTGACTCTAGGTTGAATATGACTGTAGGGACGATGATGCCCTTTATATGAGGGATACAAGCTTAGCACATTTTCACCGGGATCGAATAAGATTGCCTCGGGAACAGAGTTAACCAAGATTTTCGTGAACAACCAAGCGAAAGTCGGCCAATACGAATCCTACGTCGTCTTCTGGGCTGCTCCTCTCCATCGCATACACTTTCACTCAAAAGTAAAGTGAGTTCAACACTTGCATTGTATATGTGTGTTCGAATTTCCACATGAACCTCGACTTCATCTTTTCTACTTTAGGCATTGCGGAAGTATGACAAGTCTACGTCAAAGGATTACAAAAGGCAAGAATACGCCCAATGAAAAAGATTCTTCCGATTCAACGCCAGTTCAGAATATCAGTGAACTTGTGATTGTCAAGCAGAGCGAGGGCCTGATAAAACCGTCTCGTAATCCGCGACTTAACTCTCGCCAGTCGTCACGCGACTCAGGCACGTCTTCCAACGATGGTCCAACCCAGCCGTTGATGCCGCTGCATCAACGCGGCTGTAGTGTCCCGGCCATCAGTCTTCTGGCCAGTCACAGACTCATCTCATCACAACCGGTTACCCCGCAGGTGCAAGCCATTGTCCGTGATCGGTCGGCATCCCCGAGGCCTGAATCGTCTGCTGCCGGGCCTAGTCGACTTCGGGAACCAGACTGCGCCGCTGCCTACGACTTGACTTCCCTGTACACCAGCTCGGATAGGCAACCCATGGGTTCGGAGAGCACAAATGAGTCTCTGGCAGTCAAGGAACTTGTGAGCATCTCGAAATAAAAACTAATTTTGAGATTTTTGGAAGGCTTATCTATCGCAGGAGGGTCGGTTATTCTTTCCTAAGATCTTCACACACAAAAATGAAGATAAACTGGGCTTTAAAAAATATTCATCTTTAATTTTTTATCTTGAGTGATATTTAAATTGGCTTAATCTGAAACCAGAGGTCTTTCCTTGGAAGAGATTTATTCAAATAAGTACTCGGTACATCTCGTTGTCAAGGCGACGCTATTTTCCTGTCCGATGTACAACTACAAGTATAGGACATGGTTTAAGGGTTGTTCCGGGTTGTATTTTTAATATTTTCATTTTTATTTTAGTAAAAGCTCTGTTCAGCCTAGGCTGCACAAGATGATGAAGGACTGGTAGTTTAATTTTCCTACAAGCTCATAAGTCGGCCTCACATGCATAGCCTTGTTTTCCAAAGTTTATTCGCCTCCCGACTTGATTAGATTACAGTTTTGAC